GAAACACGATTCGTTCTGCTACACTGCAGATGTTTACTCTGGCCTTTTCCATATTTATTCCTCTGCATTGGCTGCAGCAGGAGTGTTGACATCATTCAAACACTTCTTCCAGGTAGCCCCTTCTGCCTGGCTCTGTGCTGTCTTCTTGCTGTGGAGAGTTAACTTCCCTCTAGGGTGGGTTGCTCTTTCACTGTGGTGAAGGTGTTGGGAGTGAAGGACACTGTGACACTCCCAGCTCCAGTGTATTTCCTGCTCACAGGTGGTCCCTGGCCTGCCCAGGCTTGTGCCCATCTGTCTGGGAGATACTGTCCTTCCTGCAGGGTGGTCAGGTCTTTGGGCAGACACTTTGGGTTTACCAGGGCAGGCAGCAGAAGCTGCAGTGACATCTGTTCTGCAGGAATCCATCCTTGTGGGAATGCTGCTGGTGCACGGCCTCTTCCACCTGATTGCACCTGTTGATCACCATGTGCGGAGGAAGAGGAGTAAAGTGGGGCAGGGCAGGACGTGGGTGTTCCCAGGCAGCTGTGCCAGCCCCTGGGAGAGGCTGGAAGGGAACACAGGCTTTGACATCCCATGCTGTCACCACAGTACATGGCACTGAAAAGAAACCTGATTTTCAGGGCTTCCTCTTGCAAAACAGATGCAAAATGCTGTCATCTGTTCATCACTCCCATGGCTGTGCAAGGTGAAGAAGTGAAAAAAATACCTGCATGGGAAAGCCACTTCCACCCAACCCAGACAGACACACAGGGCTATGCCATGCAAGGCTGTTGTCATGGCAGGTCTGATTTGCAGTGCAGACAATCAGTTTCAATTCTGAAATATTCACTCACTCCCTGGTACCTTAACCAAATAAATCCACTGCACCCCAGTAAGCACAGAGTTTATGGATGTGGCTGGTTTTGGAAGAGAGCAAGAGTCCTCTGCCAGGCCTCAAAATTACTTATACAGGGGAAAGAAGAGAGACAAAACATAAAACACTTAGTGCTGATACACTACCAGGCTTCTGACTGGGCACCAGCCCCAAGCACCAGCCAGCCAGCGACTCTGTGCTGTGATTGCCACATATGGTAAAACCTGGGTCATCTTCCCTTCACTGATTTTGTTGGCAAGATAACAGTCAGCATGGGCAGGTCTTCCCATGCTCCAGATGCACCTTCAGTTTGCCTTTTAGATGTACCCAGCAGGGCCACCAAGCTCCACGTCCCCACAACCGCGCCTCTGGAGAGACAAAAAAGAGCTTTGGTGGGAGAAAAGCCCTAGAGAGAATCCACAGCACAAAATGTGGGAAACTCATGTTCTCCTAAATGTTTTCTGCTCTGGTCACTGGTATCCCTGCTCCTGCTTTGTCCACACGCCAGCCCAGCCAGTTGCTGCTGCAGTCACAGCTGACTGTGCTGCCTCCACACAAATCCCAAGCGGGGACAGAGGCACTGCCATGGCAAATCCACTCAGGACACAGCGCTGCTCCCATTTGTTTTTATGGACAGGGACACTGAACCCAGACACTGAATTGTCAAGTGCCTCTTAGAATGCAAAATGCCACGCTAAGAAAAGAAAGAGAAAAGCAATTCAGAGAGAAGAAAAGGATGGAAATATCTATCATTCACCAACACTGACAAAAAACAAACCCTGGCAGCAGGCTCCTGTGCACTGCCTTGTTTATGCCAATGCTGGTTGCAGCTCCTGCTCGGATCAGAAGCACAACAAATTGTCTGTTTGCCTGACTCCAGCGGGCTCTGATAGCTACTGACCATGCTGACAGAGCCCATTGCCTGCATTTGAATGGGAACGATGGATAGGGGAAACAGCCACGCTTGAACACATACAAGATTGTTTTTAGAAATCCAAGACTGTATTTACAAGTTCCAGCTTTTAAGGCCAGGGTATTTTATTTACTTTGCTGGTTTTTTAGTAGTGGAAAAGCACAAGAGCAATCCATCTGCCTGAACTGGAAGCATCTTATAAATAAACAACAATAAAAAACAACACTTGAAATTCATTTCGCCCACTACTGTTTTGTCTGAGTCCCCCCCAGAATCTAAATCAACAAGAGATCAGACTGCAGTTTGTGAGTAAATTTCCTTCAACAGAAACAAACAAAAATAGACAAAGATACCCATCCTCCTCATACTTTATGCACAGTAATGCAAGTTATTTTCCACTCCATTTAGACTTTTCACCTTCCTTTCATTTACCCTGTTTTTTACAGTTCAATAAATATTTTTCCAAGCTCCACTTGCCAAACAAAAGAGTTTAGCTTCAGTGTTACTCCTCTGACAAATATCCTTATGGTGTTGCACATGTGAGCCATTGATAAACAAATTAAAATTCTGTCCCAGCTCAGAGCTCAGCTGGCCCATTTCATTTTGTGGTATGGGTTTGTAAAGGTCTGGGTGTCTGTCATCCTCCCCTAACCTTGTCTTTGTCAAAGGGATACAAAAGCCTGCACGCTCGGGGCCTTACGATACTGATTAGTGTGAGTGACAAAGTGGAGTAGCAAGTCCACTCAGCCCTTCATAATAAATCTATCAAAGAGTAATAGAATTCCATCAATTCTGCATCATCCCCGAGGGTCGCTGTGCTGGGATGGAAAGTGTGTTCCGCTGGGATTGTACAACTGTTATTATTCAATTACACTCTTTTCTTCCTAGTTAAAGACCATGATATCATTATCACTTAATGAATACATATAATTGGATCTGGACTCTATGTTTGGCTGATGAATACCACTCACTATTCATTCAGTCTCAGCTCATCTTCTGACCATTTATTATAGACTTTTGGCTGAAAACCATGATGACAAAGGGAATTTGAAATTAGCTGAGAATTCATTCAATGCTCAGTTAGACACAAAGGCAAAATACAATTCTGACGCATAAATGAGGCTGAGACCACACAGAGAAGTTTTGCCTGAAAGTTAATAGCTGTTGATTTCTACATAAACACAGCGAGGTAAGAGCAAAGATATTTTTTAAGACCGTCTCATAACTTTGCAAGCAAGCAGAGATTTCCTCCCTCTCTTCCCCAAATAAGCAAAAAAAAATTATCTCAAAGGTAAATACTAGATCTTCTAAGTTGGTACTTTATTTCCCAACTTAGGCAAAATATTAGCTTTAAAGATGTCATCCAAGGCCATTATGAGCTTTAACTCAGCCCTGCTAAGCCAAACACCGTTTTATGATTAAATAACATTTAAATCTGACAAAGCAAAAGTGCTTTCTATACAGTATATTTATTACACCTAATCTGGAGACCATCATTAAGTTTCATCAAACAGTGTGCCCCCAAAGGAAACTGGCCCTCCTATTCATATTGTTGGGAGTAAATGTAGCATACCTCCTTTGGATCACTGGTGAACAGGCCACCTCATTAATCCTAGTTAGTAGATGCTGCTGGGCATGTGGAGCAGCCAAATCCAGATGCTACCCACAGAGCCTCTCCAGGCAGTTAGGGAATCACAGAGTACCACCTCAAGCCCTCCATACATCACTTCAAATTAAATTTACATTAAGTGCTACTCCATCAGAGCCGAGAGAAGCTGACATCTTTGGAAAATGCAGATGATAATCCATTAAATCCTATTATATACATGTCTTCTAATTTTACTTAAGCTCATGCATACCAAAGTGTGAGTTTGTGTTAAAAATTAAAGACCCTTTTACTAGAACAAAAGACTTTATGAACTGTTGACTTTGGGAGGGTTTATTACGGGATCAGGCTATTCTGTCAAGACAAGTAGACTTTTTTTTTTCCTGTAAAATTTCTGGTTAATCATTTGTTCCTGGGATCTTTTTTCAAATGCACAATGTGTCTTTGCTATTTCCATCTCCAACTCTTTTGTTCTCTCAAATAGAAGTGCGGCCTCTTTAACTTAATCAAATGTTGTGAATGAAACAGTGGGACACATATTGTCTCCTTTTGCAATTAAGAAAATATTTGCTGGCAGCTTCCAAACTGGCAGCAGTAAGAAGATGCTATAAAATCATCACAGTGAAAAAGCTGAGGATTTAATTGCCCTATTACTGCATATGTCAATCCCTTTATATTTTCCTAGTGCTTAGTCACAGTTACTTTTACTTTGATTAGCCTCTCCTAATTTCAGAGCATTGATCTTACTATTTTTGATTCAAGGTACTTAATTTTTTTATATTTAACTGCAGTATTTTATATTTATGTTTCCAGCTGATTTACTTTTCTGCAAGACTTAAACTAAAATTGAAAATACGCAGATTTCAGAAAAAAAGGTAAAAATTATTTCATATATTAGGCAAAGACATTATAAGAAAACATATCAAGAAATAAAATACACACATAGACACATACATACACAATTAATTTAAAAGCTATTTATCGACCATTTAAAATTTAATCAGAGTTTTGATTTCAGGCTTAGATTGGTTTTAGCTTTCAAGCCAGTTCTTTCAAAGTGTTTGACTCTATATCTGCTTTACAGAATATTTTTGTAGTATATATGTATATATACATGGAGTAGAAATGTTTTAGCTTTCAAATATTGTCACTCTTTGGCAACTGAGAAGGGGCAGGCTGTCATCTGACAGAAAGAAGTGTAGCCCCATAAAATTCAAGTGAATTAATAAGCTGACTGAAGTTTTTCAATGGAATATTTCTGATTTATGCAAACTGAGGATGTTTCCCTACATTATTTTCTTGAAATACAGAACTAGCCTAGTTTTACACTCTGGGTTGCTCCTTTTTTGTCAGCTGAGGGTGGGCAACACCTTGTGAGCTGGCATTGCCTCTTGTAGAATTCCAGGTGCTGCAGCAATAGGCAACAACACTGTATTGACAGGTCAGTTCACTGCAGCTTTAGCTCATTTTGCAGTATTTTTTCCAGTCTAATTTTGGAGTATATTTTTAATATTACAAATACAGGCTGTGAACAAGACTCACAGAGGATGGATAATAAAATGAACACACAATTTGGAGGTGACTCAAAAGAAGGGAGGCATTAGCTGCTCTCACAAACCTTTACTCACCAGTTGCCTGAAGAGTGGGCCAGCAGTTGTACCAAGGCTCCCTTAACAGGCAGGACATGTAACAAATAAAAAATGATGTCACCAATAATTAAAACTGCAGAGTTTAGTTTAATCTTCTTGCACAAGGATTTATGCATGTTACTCCCATTAAAACTAGTAGGATCTGCTTCCATAAATTTCCATTCAGTAGGTTTATAACATTACCCAAATTATTGCTCTATAATATACTTACACCCTATGATTTCAGAAGCTTCCTTTGCCTCTGAACATCCCTAGCTCCAATTTTAATAAATCATCCCATTAGGAAAAAATCATACAACGTCTACCATTTCAATATTCTTATTCCATTTTTAAGGAAGGGGCACGAGTTGTTATTTGTTCCCATCTGATGGGTCAAATTTTGTTTTCAGAATCACCAGTTACCGGTACTAAATTGGATGATTAAAAAACCAAAATGGATCTTAACTATTAGGTTATACTTAAGAATTAAAAGGAGTCTCTGAAAGATGATGCTGACTGCATAAACAAAGCAACATGCTAAAGTGATGGAGCACTATGTAGGATCATACTTTAATGTTTTAGATTCTCCAGGGACTGGAGAGGAATCAGCCAGGCATGAGCAAACACAATCCTGGCTCCATCATGGGACTCACAGCCTATCACCATGCCTGACCTCCACCAGAACAGAACAGACACTTTAAGAGATTTCCAGAATCTGATATCTGAGATGTCTTGGGAAAAGCATCAGGACTATCAAAAAAAAAAAAAAAAGCCATATACTAAAAAAAAATTAACAAATTTTCCAAGATATCCATAAAGAATATTCTACTAAAGCAATGACAAATATAACCAAAACTTACCCAATTCTGGTTTCACTCCTGCACCTAAAAGAGGGGCTTCAAAATGAAAATGATGGCTAAAAGGGTCCTTGGGAAGGGGCAGTATTACCACAGATGACAAACATTTCTGGTGCACTCCTGTTGACAGGTATGAATCCTGCCATTACCTGGAGTCCCCAAAAACCAAAAGAATTTTCAACCTACTCCTTCTAGAAAATATAACCATAAACTGAGGGCTCAGCTGAACAACCCAAGGCTGGGTTGCCACAGTTTTCCAGCTGGCCTGCAGGAGCTCCACAGCTGTATCCCTTGTTCACAGTAGATGCAATAAAGCATCACGTAATTTGGGCTAATTTTGGGCCAAGTAAGGCCCCTTAGTTTCCATTGGCCACATAGAGTGGATCTGCCTCATGACTGCATTTGGCTCAGTCCCTGAGTGTCTGCAAGTTGTACATCCAGGCACCGAGTGCTCAGGACAGCTTGTGATGGCCAAAGTGGCCTTACATCATGATCTGTGGGGCAGGGAATACCTTTCTACTCTGTGCTTGTTTAGCTCTCAGCAAAAGAGCTCACATTAGGGGCTCTTCCTCACGTCCTTGCAGCTTGCCACCAGTTTATACAACTTTGTTTATACAACAGTTTATACAGTCTCTTTCTGTGACCTCCAGAGGAGGAGCTGAATGTTATTATTTACATGCAGCACCACTTGGAGATGAAGCTGTAGCAGAGGTCCCAGGGCACCAGCCATGGTACGTACACATAAACAGCAAGAGGCAGCCCTTGCCCCCGATAACTTACAGTCCAAATAAACAAGACAAGCGGGAGGTCAGAGAGGAAACAGAGGCACAAAGAAGTGACGTGATTCGCCTGCAGTCACCCCGTAGATGATTGGCAGAGTCAGGATTAGAGTAATAGATCACTGAATCAATCCACTGGCTAAACATACTGCTTCCCATTATTTCTTGGGAGGCAAACCAGGAAGAATGATCTCACTCTGCTAAGAGCCATAATAAAAATAACAGCAGTACCAAGGGCAAGTTCAGAGCTTTCTACATGATGTGCTGCAGATCAACTGGTGGAGAGGCTGCTCTCTCCACCACCATGTTTTGAATTGTCTTCACGGCAGGAATGATGGAAGACAGAGGAATGGCTGACAGTACTGAATAAAACTCCATGTAAATTCCCCTTATGAACATCTGATAAGTATTTATATGGGCATAAAGGGTTATTTATTTCCCCGTCCCCATGAATGATTTACATGCTACTCTCCATTTTTATAACGCACTCGCTGGGGCTTGAGCAGGAATGTACTCTGACTGGCTCTTTTTCCAAAGAAATGACTGACACAGAACTGGAGCCAGGATGCTGGGTGGGGGTGGAAACATTGCCAGTGGTCTTAACTGTCTTTCACAGCAGCCATTTTCCTCCCTCCTTTACACTTTTGACCTTTTTTTTCCCCTCTTGTCAATGAGTTTCATCTTTCCCAAAGTCTCTACAGTCTTCAAGTTCCTTTGCACATTCTGTAGGTAGAATAATGCCTTTTTAAGTGACATCTGTTAAGGATAAGATTCAGGAAAGAGCCTGTAGAAGTTTAAACTATAATCACTCAGTGAATGTGACTGCAGTGCCCGGGAGGTTCCTCTGGTTCTTTAGCTCTCACTCTGACTCAAGCTGTACCAGGACTGCCTCCAAGGGTTTTCCTACCCAAGGGCCTGGGTTAGATTTTTGAGGACTCTCTAATTCCACACCAAACTGAGCCTCAGAATTTCAGAATTATTCATTCCAAATCTAGGTCCACTTTTGTGATTTATAAAGGGCAAAATCAAAGCCTGGATCAATTGCTGTTATAGAATTTACAGTTCAGCCATATCTCAATATTTTTCCCTGATCCGATTTCCTTCTCCTTGCCAAATGGGCGTCCTAGCAGTATAAAAAGTACTTAAAGAGATACAGTGAGAAACATTACAGATAGATTTTATATGGGACTTCCAAGGCCCTTGGCCTTCAAATTCCAGGCAGATGAGTGGGAGTTCAGCTTGAAGAAGCACATTTTTTCCTAGATGCAGTCAAATGAAGTACTGAATACCTCACTTTCAGTAATACCAAATATAATATATGTGATCCCACTCAGCTGTATTTGATAGCTGGAATGAACACAGTAAATATGTTTACAAAGTGTTGGACAAAGATTTATCACTTAAAATTCAAAGAAAATCTTTTTAAATATGTCAAATTTATAAAACCTGTGGCTCTATCAGTTATTCTCTAACCCTTCATATTCAGCCCTTTTCTTAAGAAAACATGGCTACATTGTCTTCATTAGGAATTCTACGGGAATCATCCAGAATGGAGTTTGGTAATGTTTCCATCAGTCCTCATTTCTGTAGTTGTGTTGTAGTATTAAATTATTTTCAGAGCAAGAGAGTCACGGTTGTAAAATGCATACTGTGATTAAAAAAAAACCAACAAACCCCAAAAAACTAAGGAAATTAAAATATAGAGCTATATATCAGATAAGAATTGTGTACACTACCTTGTACCAGCTTTTCTCAGTCTGCCATTCGAACACTTCTGATACTAAAATGCTTCAAAAGAAAGACATTAGGATCAGCTCTGAAGTAAAAACATCAGCACAAATCTGAGGTTGTGCAGAACCTGAAACAAGGAAAACAAAATCAAGGTTTTGTTATCCAAATCCCTCATTGTGAAAACTTCAGACCAACTTTCTGTGAAGTCACAGTAGCCTCAAAAGCTACTGCTGCTCATCACAGCCTCTTCCATGCTTTTAAAGCTATTCCACAGTCCTGACTCTCCATCAAAGCAACTGCAATAGTTTCCTCACAGGATAAAGCTCTGGGTGGGAGTTAGGAGTGGTGGACAACAGATGTTACTCTATATTACTTCTCTTTGTAGCTTTGTATCACTTCTGAGGAGGATGAGGATCTCCCCTCGCACCCTTGTGACTCACGCTGTGACCACACAGTCAGCCCTCCATATTTAAATTCACAGCATCTCAGCTCCCTGAGATGTATGAGCCTGCATTACTGTGTGAACCTGCACATGCAGCCGGGCTCCATTTACACCCCTTCAGCACTGCCTGACACAGGCTGGGCAAACCCACCTGGAGCGGCCATGGCCGGCTGTCCCCTCACGGACCCTCAGGCACCCAACATGGCGCCCGCCGCCCCTCAGCGCCCCTCAGCCTTCCTCCTCCCCTCAGGGCAGCCAGGCTGTGCGCGAATGTCCCGCTGGTCATGTTTTCACATGGACAGGGTCAGAGCAGACTCATGGCAGCTTGAGATTGCCTGTGAAGGACTTGTTTTCCCACCTTCACACTTTCCCACCTTCCTGTTTTCCCACCCTCCCATTTTCCCGCCTCCTGCTGCCTCACAGCAGTGTGAGTGACCCAGGGCTGGGGTGTTGGAGGGGTTATCCAGTACCTCCTCTGTCGCCGGCTTCAGCGCCATCCTTACCTTGGGAGCAGTCTGACCATGTGCTGAGGCAGAAATAACTCGGGGTAACATTCCTTGGGATGGAACTTCTGCTGCCCAACTTGTTCCTTCAGGCAGACATCCTGCCTCCTCTGTGCCTACACCATCTTCTCAAGGTTTTGTCCCATTAAATTCAGTGGATTCTCCACAGACAGCCCAGTTACAGTGGCAGCAGTGCTCTGGGCTGTCCGGATCAGCCACAACAAAGGGGCCAAATCCACGAGCAGTCCCATGCTCTGCTTTTCCTGACAAAGTGAAGCCATGCAGGTCCATGAGCTTAAAATCATAGGATATCCTGAGTGGAAAGGGACCCACAAGGGTCATCAAGTCAAACTCCTTTCCCTGCATGGGACAACTCAACAATCCCACCCTGTGCCTGAGAGCATTGTCCAAAGGCTCCTTGAGCTTTGTCGGCTTTGGAGCCATGACCACTGCCCTGGGGAGCCTGTTCCAGTGACTTGGGCAGAAACAGCACCCTTTGTGTCACTGCAAAAAGCCATCAGTGATAATCTTGGTCACATCAGCACTGGAATTTTCAAATTAAAAAAAATTAAGAGGCTGTAAGCGGAAGAAATTGCAAATAGTCCCCCCTGTTGGTACAAGGAGTCTGTTTTGCTGCTATGAGATTTTATTGTGAGCTTAATGTCCACAGTTCAATTACCATAACAAAAGTAAGGCCAAATTTCATGCTGGCAGAGAATTCTCTGAAATCTTTCTCATCGGTACAACAACATCTCCACCTTCCCCAGGCTTCCCCAGCATGTGTTTGGTTGGTCAGCTTCCCTCAGTGACCTGCTTTTACTAACATTTCCTCACAAAACAAAGAAGAAATTATCATAAACAAAGATTACATTTATTTTAACGCTCAGCTTTTCATCAACATTTAACCTTTATGGGGAATCAAATTATTTTTCTCCATGACTAAGAAAAATCTAGTGATATGCAATTAAAATAACAAAGACAAGTCCCGTTCTATACAAGTGTAATTATGTTCATGTGGTACCACTGTAATTGAAACACAGAAGATGTTTCAGTCTGTATTAAAAGAGAATTTCTTTCAGTGGGTTTCCTGAAGCTCATTAGATATTCCCTGGCCTATTCTCCTAAGTAATTAGATTTTAACAGGATTTTCAACAGATCAGAGCAATCTCTGTGGGTGCCAATAGGAGACTCTCCCTCTGGCCTTACCAGCAGGGCAGCATGGATAACATCCAGGCTGGGAGTTAATAGGACAATTACTGGCCTCTTTTAAATGAGTTACATTAATGCACTTAAGCTAAATGGCTCTGCATATGATTAAATATTAACATCTGCAAAATATGAAATCATGATATGCAATCAAGTTTTGTTGTTTTAATTTCCCAAATGCCGGATTCCGATGGTGTATGTAAATGTGCATTGGATAGTGTATGTTAAACTTTCAAAACACAGATCAACACTATTTGTGAATGGTTCTTCTGGAGCTACTAAGTTAAACATCTTAAAATAGCACAAGGCAAGAGGAAATCATCAGAAATTATATAAAAACAAGAAAAGGAAAAAAACCTCAGCCTTCATATTGAACGCCTCGATGTGAGCCAGGTCATGATTTCCATTGCAAACAGAAATGAAAGTTTTAAATTCAGTGCCTCAATACCTAACAGTTTCCTGGCAGGAAAAAGACATAGTGAGAAAGGATGAGGAAAAGGCTGAGGTACTTAATGCCTTCTTTGCCTCAGTTGTTCATGGCAAGACCAGTTGTCCTCCAGATATTCAGACCTCTGAGCAGCAAGACAGGGTCAGGGATCAAAATGAAGGTCCCATAATCCAGGGCATGCCTTCCACTGGACCTGGTTGCTCCACACCCTCTCCAACCTGGCCTTGAACACTTCCAGGGATGGGATAACCAGAACTTCTCTGGGCAGCCTGTGTCAGGCCCTCATCACCCTCACAGGGAAGAATTCCTTCACAATATCCTTGTCCTCTGGCATTGGAAAGCCATTCCCACTTGTCCTGTCCCTCCAAGCCCTTGTCCAAAGTCCCTCTCCAGCTTTCTTGGAGCGCATGTAGGTGCTGGAAGGGACTCTCAGGTCTCCCTGGAGCCTTCTCTTCTCCAGACTGAACACCCCGAACTCTCCTAGCCTGTCTCCAGAGCAAAGGTGTTCCAGCCCAGGGAGCTGGAACTGGCTGGACTGGCTGGACTGGCTGCTGGACTGGCTCCAGCAGCTCCCCATCCCTGCTATGCTGGGGAGCCCAGAGCTGGACTCAGTGCTCCAGAGTAGGGTTGAAGAAGGAAATCTCCTCCTTTGACCTGCTGATCACGCTTCTTTTGATGTAGCCCAAGACATGTTTGGATTCCTGTCCTACAGTGTATCTATTTATTGTTCTGAATCTCTCACCCACTCACCAGACCCTGTGCCCTGTCCATGCTAACCCTGACCTCTACTTGCACGTCTGCTGCCTGAGTAAGTCCTTTCTACAAGTTGACTCAGTCACCCCGACATGCTCCAGCCCCCTGCAACACTCCCACAAAATCATCTGACAAGAGAAGTAAATAGAGCTTTGATGTGGGCTGGAAACACATTCATTTTGCAACAAGAAGATGGACTGTGTACTGATGGCTCTTCATTATTTCCCCAAATTCTTGCTGTGAGAAAGGATTTCTTTTTGTTTCTATGAGTTTCTCCTGACAGAATTTCAAAATATTCCTTAGGTTTCAAGATCAGCAGAACTGCACAGCACAGACGCACTTCACTGTTCCATCTTGGGCTCCAAAAGTTAATAATATCAGCAATATGGAGCACATTCTTCCCAAAGTACTCTACAAATATGAAATAATTACTCACTGTGAGACTGCTGTATGGCAGAGAAATATTACTCCTGTCTTTCAGCTGAGAAAATGGAGCAGGGATTAAGACCCAAATCCTTCAGTATCTACATCCCCATGAAATCAAATGTAGGGATCTGGTTTGAAGAGGTGTGTCTAGTTCTTCAAAAATTGGTAGAGAGCTGGGATAAACATTTATTCTTGTGTTTTAGCAGTGATTTTGGCCCAGCAGAAACTGTGCTTGACCAAATATATGGGGTATAAAGAAGGACTAACAGTCCAGTTGCAAACTCTCTTGTTTCCTTCCATGACACAAATTTACTCTTTGTCACAGGGTAAGCACTGTGTGGTGGAACTTAATTTGTGGTAGTGCAGTGATGCCTCTAGACAATAGAAACAGCTACTCCTGCTGGATGGTGAGGGCTGACAACAGCATTTTATCAGTTGCCTCAATTTAAAATAAATGCAGAACTACTTATCTTTAGAAAAAAATATTCTTTGCCCAAATTCTAACCAGTTCTAGTCATGCCATGGTCACAGTCCATGCTTCCAAGAGAGGGAACTCACCCCAGCTGCCTCGGGTGACAGCGCTGAGCTGTCACCATCTGCTCTCTGGAAACACTGCCACGAGAGTTGGCCATGCCATAGCAGCCTCCTCACAAATCTGATGGAGAGACACAAATGTTCACGTGGTGCAGCAGCTAATGATGGCAGCCCTTGGAACCAAGATGGAAAATATTAGTGTAACAGCATGACGGGAATGGAAAACAAAAGAGAAAAAGCAGGGCAAAACAGAGCCACAATATTAGAATATGAAACTCAGTAAACATGGAGATATTTTAGCCATGATGCTATTATTAGTAACGTGGAGGCTTGTGATCATCCAGGAGTTAACCCAGGCAGGCTCTCATGAAAAGCTTTATTATTAATTCCATGAAAAGTGGGGAAGATCAGTGCCTATGGTTCAGCTTGTCTGACACTTCCCATTCTATAAATCTGCTCTCAGTTGCCCCTATCTTTGCCAGCCTTCACCCATATGAGATGAAACGTCCCATGATGATTGACTCAAACTGAGGGGGGAGGGAAATGAAGGGAAAAAAAAGATTCACATCTTCCTTAAAACAAGGAAAAGGCAAAATATTTTCTTTTGCCCACATTAAAAGGAATCTCACGACCATCTCATTGAGGAGATGTCACTCCAGTATGGTTTGTACTTAAAATTTGGCTGGGAGGCTTCCGTTGCTTTTGGGAATGAACCACTGACTCTATCTGGATTTGGTGAAGTCCATAAAAAACTTACTCAGATGTCTTAGAGTTTGTCAACTACATCCTCCAAAGACTCTGTCTTCTGCACATGGAAATCTCCTCACAGCTCCCATCAACCAGGCAACCATGATCCCATCGGAGCAAGGAAGGGAAGAGCAGCCCGCAGCTTTGGCATTGAGCAGGACTTCTCAGGCTCCCTCCTGCCTCAGACCACTCTCCTCCCTGTGTTCTCAGCTCTTCCTCACAACATCCCAGCAGCACAGATGAAGGAAACGTAACCCTAATGCAGAGTCAGACCTGGCAGTGAGGTGTCAAACACAGGAATGTGCATCAGGGATGCAGATGTCAAGGACCAGGGCTGGAAGAGAAGGGGATTTTCAAGCGGCAGGAAAGGGAGCGCTGCAGCTGGAGAAGGCAGAGAGGAGCTCCAGACACTCAGAAGTGAGCAGAGTGTGCACACATGTTCACCTGGGCTTCAGAAGCAATCATAGTGTTTGCCACAGCACGAACTGCATGAAGGAGTTGTTGTCTCTAAGTTTGTACTTTCTTGTTGCAGAAGCTGGAATCATGCAGCTGGAGACTGACTCTCTATTCAGGCACAGACAGAGACAAATGGAAGTGACCAGAATAGCCCTAAATCAGACTTTTTCTAACTTTGGCATACTCCCCTCCAGGAATTTTGAGTGCATTCATCTAGCCCTGTAAAGCCAGCTCAGTGCTTCTCCAGGCTCCGAACACCACAGGGCCTCACCCAGCAGAGCCCACATCCACTG